TCTTCCAAATAAGTATGTGCCAAAGACGCACTTGCCGCTTGCGAATGAAAATGTTGAACAAAACGCATCGAAGCCATTAGATCAAATTCCTAACACGTCAACGGCCCCGCTATCAAACTTTTACAATCAAGGATACGTTCAGAATACTCAACAATCGTGTCCCCGTCCACAAGCACCTCCCCTCAGTTATCCTAACATACCCAATCAACAATTTCAAAGTTATCCTCATCAGCAAGTTTACGGCAGTAATCAGAATTATGTGGACAATGGTTACAATTATCAAGGATATGGTGGCGTAAGCAATCAGGGTCAATACAGTGGTCCACCTATAGCGTCAAATCAATATCCAAATCAACAAAACTATGGCGGATCACCCTATGGTGGACTTCCTGCGGGTCATTCTTCTAATTACCCTCAGCAGCAATCGCAACAACAATACGGAAATTACGTGCAACAACAACGTTTCTATTAAAGTGACTCTCTAGCAATCGTTCATAAAAATGTATCGAAGTTTTATTGTGACTGAATCTATTTACAATTGTTACTGAACTATTTACAATTGTACTTTTCTCCTTGAACATTGTGTAAGTTTCCAGGAAAAGTTAACGTTACTAGTTCAAGGATTATTAAGATAATAATGAGCAAAGTCTTCATCAATTTTTAACCAAAATGAATACGTTTCGTAAATATATTTAAAAATTCACGAACAATTTTAGTACGGAGAAATTTCTGACGAATTTAAGATTTAACATTTGCTGTCCCTCTTTATACATAAAAAGTTTATTTTCATATCGTTTTAAAACGTCCACATGTCTCGTACATGAGATATACGAGAGGACAAAACTTAAATCTCTTAAAAATATCGCAATATGTTGTAAGTATATCATAAACGCGTGAAGTGAACGTGGATTTACGGAATGAAGTGTTGAGGCGATCGATGTGAACAGGATTAAAGTAAGTAAAAACAGAGAAAAGAATGTACTTGAAAAGAACAACTTTACTCTCATTACGATTTTGTAATGCTATGTTTTATTCAATTTTCTTAATTGATAATACGTTTATCATCTTTATAATTTAGCAGGTTCAGATGTGTGTGATAAAGCGTCAAAGGAGTCGAAAGTATCGAATATTATTTTTACAAGCACTTTTAATGTTGA